CCCCCCCCCCCCACCTCCTCACTTCGATTTTTTTCACGCTCGTCTGTGCACACTGCGGTTGTTTCGCGTGACATCGATACGCCTATCGCACGCAGGTGGAACTCCCTGACTACCTTAAAACTGAAGCCCAGAAACGGAGAAGGCGCGACACGAAGTGAGCGAAGTTGAACGCGCAGTCATGGGCGCTGTGGAGATTTGCCGCCGGTCTGCTGCTACTTTTGTCGCGCACGATGACATTGCCCCGTTTGACGGGATCTGAATTTGTTGCATTCAAGTTTTTGTGAGAGGTTGACGGACACGATGCTGACCGCTTTGAGGTCGAGGTGGACGGGAACAAGTATGTGTGCTTGTGTTCTCATTTCACTATGATTGCGCGTGTTTATTGCCGCGTGCGGCTTTCGGTCAGTGTTAGTAAAGCGCGTGGCCATGATGCCATGATGCCAAGTACGCCGTTAGGGCGGCCTAGGTCATGGGTGGTGTAACGTATCCTCTTTGAGAAGCCGCTGCTGAGCGTGTGTAGATAGAAGTATGTGGATAGCGGCGGCATCGAACACACGCGGTTGTTGGCTAGTTTGAAGTACTGCAGTGTTGGACGTGTCGTTCCTTGCCCCCGCCTCTCCCAGCATGATGTTTACGCCATTGCAATTCCCTGTTGGTTTTGTGGGTACGATTACGACCGTGTTGCCGCTGCTTAACCTCCACTGCTTCTCTTCTCGTTTGGTTTCGGTGCTGTCTTACCTTGGTTTTGGAAGGATTGGCCTAACGGAAGATAACGTGCACAAGAGAGACGCCAAGCTCTTCGAAAAGCTTCAGCTCAAGCTTACTAAGGTATGTGCAATGTTCCTCCCAGACCTTCGAGCGCTGCCCGTGATGCTGTTTCATATGCCATCTGCGGCAAGCGCCGCCACTTGAGCCCAAGGTATGTTGAGTTATGTAGGTGTTGATGTTGAACACAACTGCGTGTCCCCCTACACCCCGACCATCCGCGTTCGCTTTCAGCTTTATTTAGTTCCATCCCATACATCGCACATGCTTTTATGCTTTTCCCCATGCCCGATATGGTTTTAGAGCATTATTCAGGCGGCGATATGGATGCCATTGCTCTCCATGCTAACCCCGTCCGTAAATTGAAACCGATGTATTTCTTATTTTCCCAGAATGTTGTGCTCATTTTTGTGCAGAGCGACACATGACCCTATGCAAATATTTGGCGAATGTGAATATTGTTCTTGCGTGAGGATATTTTTATATTTCTTGCAAAACTAACTAGGAATACAAATCCTGGAGTGCAGCTCCATGTTTAGCTTGGCGATGCGTCACCCGATGCAGGAGTCATCATCCATCATGTACATGAAGTTGTTCCTTCATGTTAGGGTGAGGGTTAGACACTCTAGGTATTGAGGACACGGCGCTTGACGACAGGTGGAACACCTGTTAACCGAAAACGAGCGCATCACTGCGAAGGAGGGCGGGCAGGGGGGACTTACGGAAGGCCAGCAGGCGCAGCTTACGAGGAACGACAAGGCCATCACGGCGGTCAGGCTGCAGGCGAGCGAGATAGTCCCGGTTTACCGCATGTATCGGACAGTACATTCAATCTACCTCTGGCACACAGTAGTTTCGTCGCTACGTGTTCCCGCCCTTGACGATATCGCGAGATGGACATGAGTTCGCAAGCAGATTCTTGATTGGCTCTGCTTGTTGTCGGTGGAGATGTTGCTGTCATGGTTCCATGTGCAACCGCCGCGGTTGAAGATAGATTGGTGTGGCATCGCTGTTTTCATTGCTTCGTTTCGTCCAAGTGAGTCATGACACATATCGGCGGGCTGCAAACTCTGACCGGAATCAGCCAAGTCGCCCTCTTTCTCCTCCTGTAGAAATGTTGACGATATGTTTGCCATCATTCCCACATGAAACAAAGCGAGAATGACGCGGGTGACTTATTTTGAGTGCCCTTGATTGCGAAACCGCGGATTCCTCGGGGCTGCGCCGTTCATCAGCGGGCTATTTGCTTGCATAGGGTTTGGGTTGGGGGATCCAGTTGCCGTCTTGCATGTGCTTGCTTCCCGACCCTGACCGCATTACTGTGACCCAACAGATTGAAGAGATCGAGGAGACCATCCGTTCCAAGAATAAGGCGCGAGAGCGAGGCAAGGAGGGGGGAGAGGGAGGTGCCGGGGGGGAAGAGGGCGGGAGGAAAGCGGGGAGAGGCACAGAGGACGGGGAAGAAGACGACGACTACTACGACCGGCAAGACATGGCTGTTGCTGTTGTTTTGTTTTGGCATTCCCGTGTACTATTGAAGTTCATTCAGACCTGGCTTGCGGCTTCACGCCCAGAGGTGTTCTCTGAAGCTGAAGCTGAGGCGGAGGCGGAGGCTGAGGCTGTAGCTGAGGACGGGGTTGTTGCCAGACTGCAGTGCTTAAACGGTCATTGGCCACCGAGCTGACTACACGAGGGTCCGCTCCGACAAGGCGGGGAGGCATCCCCCCCTTTGTTGCTGATTTCTGAGCCCCCGCTTCCGTTCTACACTGCAGCAAACCTTGTACTTCTACATCGCCAATAATTTGTCAGTCAATTTAGCAGCGATCCGGGCACGGTAGAACTTTTTCGCAGTCTTCCTTGATGTACTCGTAGCCTGGTCAACCCTCCGGGAACGAAGCCATGTCCGAGCATGCTGTTGTAGTACATGCGTGCGCCTAGACAGGGATCTACGGCACAGGCTGACGAGTAGAATCAAATTCCAACCCCGAAGCCAAAACTTGCACGTCATAACAGGCCACCCGCCTCCAACCTGCTAGAAGAACGGTTGTTTCTCGCAAGCTTGACCGCCGGACTTCCGCTCACGTATTGTTTTGTCCTGTCATCGCCTCGCGCAGAACTGCTCCCGTAGTGCCCACCTTGTCGGGAACATCAAAACCAGACCTCGCCTCAAAGAAGGCCGAGATCAAAGCACGCCGATTCGGTGCCAGAGACAAAATCAAAAAGTTGTCTGCGGTAGCACCAGCAGCAGACGACACTACGGCGGCAGAGCGTAAGCGCGGGGTTGGCTCGGGGCAGAACGAGGCTGCGGCTCAAAGCTTGGAGGCACTGACGAGGCGCGGCGAAGCGGTCGTGGAGGATTTGGAGAGGACGCAGGCGGGGTTGGCGGAGTTGGAGGCGGAAGAGGCGGGGGAGGCGGCGATAGCGGAAGATGGCGGCGTTGCGGCGGACCCGCTAGACATGTTTATGACCGAAAACCGACGGAAGGAGAGGCAACAGGCGATATTGAGGCTGACGGCCAAGCGCGATTCGCTCCGCGAAGAGCAGGCGCGCCTCAAGGTAATGGTGGAAGCGGCGCGCCCGTCCATGCCATCCTTGAAGGAAGGTCCCGGTCCGGCCGCTACAACTGCTTCTGTCGCAGCCACCAAGGAGGAGACGGTGCCTGTGCCTGAGACGGCAACCGGGGGTTCGGGTTCATCGTCGTCGGACCAAGCGGCCGAACCCGAAGACACAAAGGACACACGCGCAGCACTGGTGGAACGCGAGCACATGCCGGGAGGTGGAGGTAATGGGGAAGCTATGCCTGGCAGCGCCGGCAGCGGGAGCCATGAGAAAGACGGCGACGAGGAGGAAAACACGGCCTTGTCAACAGCACTTCCGGCACCAGAAGCTGCTAGTACCCGTGGTTCGATGCCGTCACCAGTGGCGCCACCCTGCCGCTCAAAGGCAACCACAGAAGCCACAAAATCGCCGACTGGCACTGCTGTGGCAAGCGCTGGAACGAGAGAAAGAGGGGTTGAAAAGGGTCAAGCGGAGACGCGACACCCGGGCGTTAAGGAGGGTAGGGAGGCATCGGGCACGAAGAAAAGGGGTACGCCGGTGGGGACATCGACTCTTCCCCCCCCGCCCTCGAAACGCCAACAACGACGAGAAGAAAACTCGAAAGCGGGCCTAGCGGGAGAGGACGACGAAGGCCCCGTCGAACCCAAGGCAAAGCGAACGGCGAAAGGGCCTGCAATGCCTCCGCCTGTGGGTAAACCTTCGAAAGTTGGTGGAGGCGTTTCCGTGCCTACGGCGGTCGCACGTGCAGGGGACGCGCCGCGGGGGACAGGAAAGGTTACCGGGAAAGCGGCCTTGGAAGGCGGAGACGTCGATTGGGTGCCACCAAAAGATGCGCTAGAAAAGATGGCGGCACTCAACCGAAAATTCGGATACTGATATCAACTGTTTGGATTGAAAGGTGCTCATCAAGTGCGCACCCGCAACATCGTGTTTGGCTGTTGATGTCGGTTTTCGTGGTGTGCCTTGGAGAAAGCGCACACAACAAAGTAGTAGAGCGTGTTCTCGTACTTTTGCCAGTGTTTCCAGTTGTTCTGGATTATAATCGTGGTGCAGCCAACGGCTGTGTGGGTGTCGGTCGAGGTCTATCTATTCCGGTCATAAGCTTTCGCCAACATAGTGTTCCACGCTATGGGCTACATCGAGAGGCCGTGTCTGTTTCGGCAGAGGCATCAGCGGTCGGTCGTAGTTGGACAAAATCTACTCATGAGAACGGCAGGGAGGAGAATCTGTATCGAAGGTAAGGCACGAACGAGATCCTCGCAACTACTGTAGTTAAGGGGTCACAGAGTCACGCTTCACACAAATGATGTCACTATTCAACGACGTCAAACCACTATCTTCCCAAATCCCCCCCCGCCCAAGATTCTTCTCCCACAGGGACTCATTATAATGGTTACATTCAAGCGCCGAAAGAACAAAACTCACCCCCCCACACACCGCAACTAACGCTGCTGAGGATAGTGGTGGTTGCCTCGATTTCGAGCCGCTGTGCATTTTCCAACACTTGCTTGACGTCTCTTGGCCTTAAGCGCAATTTCTGAAAAAAGCAGCCTTATTCTTCGCATTCCGGGTATTGCCAGGATCGGGCAAACAAGCTTCACCCACGAGTTGTGCTCTCTTGACGGTGTGAAGCTGGTTTAGGTCGGCCTCCTAGGGTCCTCGGTGTGGGTAAGATGCCTCCGGCCCAGCTTCAAGAGCTGGTTCTGCGTGATGTGCTTGCCATCCACCCGTAGAACATCTTCGATCTTATCCTGTAAGAGGACACGCAGTTGACACACCAGACAAGTGGCACCGATAACAAGCGTTTAACTGGCCTGCACAGACGTCCGCTGAGGATGTTCATTTTTGGCCCTGCAACTTCGGAAGACATACAGGTGGTACAAACATAATTATCACGGCGGTCGGGGGGGGTAGCGGGATACCGACAGGCTGAGCAGATATCTTGGGGAACTTCCTATCCCATGTTGAAGCGGTGCACTAAAAGCTGGTCAACACGGCGGTTCAGTTCGTATCCTAGTAAACCTGACCCTCATGTTCGGAATTCGAATCTCTCCAGCGTGACGAAACTCGCAAAATTACTGCTGAACATTTTTCGCGTGGAAACTGAAAGCAAGCACCCCAGGAGGCAGGTGGAAGAAAACAAACCTGAGTCTTGCCTTCGTTGACTCATTACCGTCGTTAAACTCATACCGAATGATGAAGGCCGACACCCAGAATGAAGAATGAAGGGGACGAGAACACATACACAGGGTGTTTCAAACTGCCAACCGGCGGCCAGAGAGAGAGAGAGAGAGCGGCTTGTTCCTCACCGTCAAGCCAGGCTGGCGTTCGCAGAGAGCCGATGCTAGAACCTCGGCGATGTTGGATTTTGCGTTGCCGTGACCGACCTGTGACGTCATGTTACAGTATGTGCGGAACCAAGTGGACCAACCCCAACGGAACACGTTGAGGTGTTAGCTCGATCTGTGGTTCCACCGGCCGCGCAGTCCTCTGTGAAGTGTAGCAACAACAGGGTCCTAGTTTGACAACCAACGAACGGCGATTATTATTTTTGTCGTCGTCATCTTCACACTGTAAGCATTGGCTTCTTCTGCCGTTCAGTGCAAATACCTCTTCTGCCGAAACCAATGTGGCATGTCGTATGCTACCCTCGGTAGTTGCCAACATCGAAAACCTAACTTCCTTTCATGCGTAGTGATACCGAGTACCCTGAAGGTTAGTGCCCAACTCACAACAGGTTCACGACAGCATTGCTCTCACCAGAAGCACCGAATCGGCCTTCTCGATCACCCCGGACAGCTCTTCCATATAAAACTTGACGAGGTACGCCTCTTCTGCCACCGGGTCCGCCTGATTTCGCCATGGAATTAGCGAAAGACGCGACAACACATGAGCTCATGAGGGCATTGCGTGGACAACGACCGTCATAGAAGGCTGTGAGAGAGCACGGGTGGTACATGTGGCCTGGGTAGTAACACATATACAAGATGACGAGGTTTACGGCGGTCATATCCTGGACAAAAAGTCCGAGACATGACGCCCAAGTTGACAAGAGCCCTACATTCGCGAGGGGCTGGTAGGGGAAGGGTACACCGTCTTGCAAGCAGAGGTTCACGAACGGTCATTGCCAGTTGCGTGGATAGCACAGTCGCGCAGTACCTGTGTAATTTCCCGTGAACTCTGCAGCACCAATGTCGGAATACAGTGACGATCGGAAGAAAAATACGTTTCACAGGCACATATCGTGCTTTCAACTTAGCTGCCCGTTCTCATCGGGCCTTGGTTGCTACCATCCAGGAGGAGTGTTCGAAGGATTCTGTTGGCTACGCCATCCCGCGAACGGCACCACCTGTGGCATTGCAAAACACGAAACCACGTAACCTCGACGGCACGCAGGGTGTTACCCGCGACACCGTCCACGTCATGGCACTCAACGACTCGGCCGGCCTCCCCCCCTCTCTCTTGCCTTTTCTGCGTGGTGCTTGCCCTGCCCCTGGCTCCTCTTCTCCCTATTGCTTGTCTCATGTACTCTCCATTCGTCAACCGGCTCCACAACTTCAGGCACGCTATTTCACAAAAACAGCAGTGGTGAATGGAGAAGGCAGGAGGGTCGAGGGCGGGTAGAGGGCATTGAAAAGCGAAATCAAAGAGACACGGGCGGTGGTGGGGGTTATGGATCAGCACCAGAAAACTAAGCGCGACATGTGCCACATCGCATGTCAGTACGAACAGGTGCTTCGAATACACCGAATGGGCGGAATTCACTACGGCATGGTCTGGCGATCGATAGCATAGTAGGATACGTTTATTAAGCCCCATTTTCGGCATGTTTACCGCCGGCGCTGGCTGCGCTTCCTCAGCAAAGTTTCCCGAAACTCCCCACAAAGCAGGTCATCGCACATCTAAAAAGACTGGCTTAGAAGGCTTTGAAGACTCGATTGCTCCACAACCAAGCAGTGAGAACAGATCCATACGTACGTCCAAAGCGAGCTCTAAAACGCCATCCACGAAACAATCCATTGAAATATCGCAACTTCAATTGCTCAGGGAGCATCGAGCTTTGACTATTAGTCTTGGGAGGGTTGTGCCATAAACTAGCAGCGTTGCGGTTGTCGATCAGAGCATAAGGTTGCACGTGGTGACGATCTTTCTGGATTTCACCTGCCCTTGGCGACAGATTTGAAGACCTTAGCGTGCTTCTTGGTCACCTCGATCAACACCAGGGATCCCTCTGGCGCCTGTACCACACCGTAAAAAGGCGGGGGGGGGGGGGGGGGGGGGCAGAAGAAGAGGACGAGGACACTCGTGGCTGTAGCCATGCAACTGAAGCAATCAATTTACATATTGCTCAAACTGGATGGGCGAACGCTGATGGAAACGGCTTCAGGTCCACACCTGACGCCATAGACTCGCGAGTGCTGGGAACCTGCAACACTTCTTCAAATAACAAGCGAGCCTGGCAGCCGAATGGGCTGGCCACTGTTTACCTTGTCGAGCTAGCCGCATGTCACAGACGCTCTAGGCCACCTCAGCAACTCTGCAGCTTTCAGTACGTTTCGAAACCATACATACTCGATGACACACCCTGCTTGGATTGGACATACACGTTGGTCACTGGATGTGTTGATACAGCAACCTACATACTCATTTTAAGAGGAAGGCTGACCTCTACATGACGAACGAAAGAAAAATAAGCCTGAGGGTGCAAAGCAGTTGGGTTGAGTCTATAGGTGCTTATTGATTGGCGTCTTGTACCTGATAAACATACATCAGTAACACTGGCAGCCCTCCGGGCCGCGACTGAACAGCTCGCAATCAAAGCGTCCGACACCCACCGAAAACAAACCCCGAACGGCAGTGTGTGCTGCGCAAGGCGCGCGCTGACGGGCTTCCCGACTACGAACTGGTTCTTTCTGGACCCTCACCCTCTACTGGCGCACTTGGATTTCGCTGTGGACTGGAATACTGCCATGTAAGATGTGAGCCATCGCCGGGACAACTGGGAAACTGGGGAACCCTTCCAGTAGTACCGCTGTACATGACTTGACGCAGAGCCAGTGGCAGATCATTGGTGCTGCAATTTGATATTTTCTGATATTTTGATGAAGGCACCCGTGGTTCATCATGCGGGGCACAGTGCGAGCGCTCTCTCATCACGTCTGGTTCCATCGGTGCACACTCTTGCAGGAGCGCCAAAAACCAGCAGCCCGTACCGTGTACCGCGTCGGGCAAACATATTATCAACAGCAGCAAGAGGGGTGTTGTTCTCACCGTTTCGGCCGCAGTTTCTGCCGCTTCTTGCTGCTGACGGAGAGGCACAGGGGCGCGTCGTGGTGCAAGGTTCCCTCCAATGGATGCTACTGAACAAGGAAGACAAACAACAAGCAGCACGTATATGACAGGCGCAGTCCAACAAATTAGATAATTTGGTTACTGCTGTAGGTCGCTCGCTGTTGCATGTTGCATGAGCATGTTGTTCAACGTTCAACATTGCCAACAGGGTCGGCCCGAGATCGATACATTGATACCAGATATTACGCTCTCTACCAAAGCGAAAGCCAAAGACAGGAGCCCAAGCGACTCTTCTATTGATCCCACACCCAACCCTGCACAAAATCTACCGTTGCAACGCACAGCCATCGCTGGTTATTGCCCCCTCAAACCCCTGCCACAAGCATTCTCTTGCCCGGCAGTAGAAACATGTCAAAAAAAGGCGGGGTTGTTCTTACCTGCATTCCGGCTGCCGACCAGAGGCTGGACGAACGCATGGGATATACTGCACCCGAGCACCAGCACCACTGCCTGCGTGAGCATCATTGTTGTTCAAATCTAGGACGTGTCGTGCTCAAGAGCGAGCGCCTTTGCTCTCGAACTACAACCCGCGTGGCCGAGGGCA